CTACTACTACTACTACTACCACCAAGCATGCAAACCCAAAAAAGTCCGAGATGCATCACTGGTCCTTTTGGAGAGGTGTGCTGCCATGAGCAGGTCCAGTCTGTAGGAGGCCGGTGCAAGCAGTGCGTGCACGGCCACGCAGAGCCTGAGCAAGGCTCCACAATTAGGGCATTCACTTTTCGGCGCGGCTTTCTTTCCCACCCTGCAAAAGTCGCTCCACATCACTTCGACACACGTTTGCGCACAACACACGCAACACCAGGGTCGGGGATAGGCTCTCTCTGGCGAGGGGCAGCAAGCCGGCTCCGGCAAAGGAGAGCCCGAGAATCCTCAGGTCTCCCGAAACAAAGATTCAATTAGCCGACATCGCGAAGTCAGGCGTCGATGTCGCAGTGGAGCGCAGCTCGCGTCTGCTTCGCGGAGGTATGTCGTATAAAGTGCGCTACTGCGCCTGCTTGTCCGAATTGTAAGTTTACTGGCTCTTTTCTTGGCACACACTGCTCGACCCACCCGATGCTGCCCGACTATCAAAAGCCAGCACACCCATCTCACAGAAGTGAATGCACACGCACCAGCCTCATTTTGGGGGACTCGAAAGGAAACAATGCTTAGTCCACGAGCTTTTCCACAATTCAACTGCTGATGTTGAATCAACCAGCTCAAAGCCTTGAGTCACGCTCAAACTCTTGATGACAATATTTTGTTTCACCAGCCTGCTAAAGCTAAGCACCTGAACCGCCAAGGATCTCGTTCATCGTGATCTCGGCCGACGTTGTGATCCCGGTGGTGTTGGTTTGGTTGGTATCGTTGGTGTCAACCGTGTCGTTGGTGTCATTGGCTGCCGACGCAGACGTCGTAGTAGTGCTTGTTGTGGTGATCGTGCTCGTCATGGTCGTGGTGGTGGTTGCTGAAGCAGTGGTGGTATTGGTGTCGTTCGTGCCATTGTCGGATGCTAGCCAGCGCTCCTGAGGACGAGAGCGCACATGTGCAGAACTGTGCTGAACAAAGCAAGCAAGCCAAGAGGATTGTGGAACTCACCTGCGAGATAAGGTAATGACTCGCCGACTAGCCAGAAGTATGTTTCAGGAAGCTGGCAGCATGTAGTGCAGCAGATTCAGAAGACTGAAAAGCTTCATCGTGGATCCAGGACACAAGTTGCACTAAGACGTGCTGCAAAGTACTTGCTGAGTCGTGCCAGTGCATGCGGACCTATGCCCCGGGGACCCGTCTGCATGCTTTGCACAGCCACAGCCTGCGCTAATGCTCGAAGGTGAGGAGATCCCCCGGCACCTGCAACTCAGGTCCACGGTTGCTCCGAAACTCAGGAACGCCCTTAAAACTAAGTACCAGAATGCCTGGACTCTTGACAAACACGAGCTGAGTATCAAGATGCAGAGTACACGGTGGAGCGTATACACCACCCCAACAAGTTTTCCGAGCACTGCTGTAGAGTTCTGCATGTTGGCCCTTGACACTGCGTTTCCTGCCACGATCCCTCAGTGCGAGCACCTAACTGACCAGATGGTAGCTGAAACAGGTGACTTAGCAGGCATAGTAGCGAATACAGCTACTGATGCAGGAGTTTGAGCATTGCCTTGCGCTAGGCCCAACTCTTGCTCGGCCTGCGTGAGCTACCGCCAGCACGGCCGCCAGGACGGCAACGCAGCGGGCTGCTGACATGGTGGTGCCGACCATTCGGCCCGCAGGTGCGAGGGCATGAGAACTCGTCAGAGAAAAGCGATACAAAGATGCTTGGCGATTCGGGCTGGTAAGGATTGCCGGGGATTTGCTGAGGGCTCCTTGGCGTGCAGTGTCCAGTCTGTCTCGTTCCTCCCGTGGCCTCTTTCGGCTATGGGCATCCGAATCTGCATGCGAGGTCGGACTGCTTCATCTGAAAGGTATCCGGCATGTACTTTCGCGCCTGTGCGACTGAAGCCGGAATGCAACGAAGGCATTTGCCGGTCACCGACTTTGAGCTCAACAGTGGGCGACCCGAATCGGTTTGAAAGCAATCTTTTCACTAGGCGGCATGACATCTCAACATGTATTGCAGCGACAAGTCAGCAGGTTCATCATCACCACCCTAAAGGCCCTAAACACCTGGTCGGGGCCCAGCCTGCTCGGCAAGTGCTGCCAACCCCTCCTCTCTCTGGTCGGTGATGCCTCGGGATGTTTTTTCTCTGTTGAGATATTCGTTGGAGACTGGCTCTCCCTTAGCCTTAGCCTTCCACGCATCTCCTTGTGCAGGCGCCAGGTTGAACCGTCAGCATACTGCCAAGCCTGCAACTCGCACGCAAGGAAGTCTCTTCTTCAATCTTTATTCCACTCCGGTGTGCCGCCTCCATCTCGTGCGGGGGGCGACCCTGGTGTGGAGTGGAACATTGCAGAACTCCCAAGTTCTTCTGGACCTCATCGCAGGTCGGGTGGCTCAGGCTTGAGAAACCCTCCGAGCAAACTCAAGTAGTGGCAGCAGCGAATAGAGCAACAACGAATTTCTGTGGCACCAGACATCTGCTTCTTTGGTTGCCTTGGCTTGTGGTTTCCCTGCGGCGTACTTGGATTGCTCGGTGACATCCTCTTGAGCTACCCGCACGAAGAACCAGGAAAGATCGCATGGACCAAAACATCACTGCCCAGCTTGTTTTGTAATCCGGGATGCCACACACCACAAGCCACCCAAGCCGTTGCTGTACCTTAGACTCAGCCAGGCCACAACGAACAGTCAAAATGCTGAACCAAGGTGGGAGCGCTTCTGATACTTCTTGCAATTGCATTTGCCCAGAGATATGGTGCCAAGTTGCAGTATACCACTGCCTCCTGCTTGACGCCAAACAGCATGGCCACGTTCTATTCTCCCCGGCCTCCGAGCAGGACATATCAACGACGACAAGTCGTAGCCACAAGCCAGGCTGCAACACAAGCACCCATGGTGCGCATACGTATACATACATATACATAATTTTAGGTCTCTGCGGTAAGCCTGAGAAAGTGTTCGCTTGATCTTTTCTACCCCGCAGACACCGTGACCCTGAGCAGTGGACTGGCGTGCATACTCTCCTTGGATCAAGGGCTTCGGGGGGCAGATGATCCAAACCTCAGTGGCATGTCTAAGGCCGGAAGACCTGCTCCTGTCACACTTGGTCCCGAGCACGCTCTGGAGCCGTTTCGCTGCGGAGCAACGCCTTGTCAGGCAGCTCGGCAATATCGCTCTCTCTGAAAATGCTTCGGCAAGGCCTCTGCAAAGGCTTAGCTTGGACAGTTGCTCCATTGCGAAATTGGAATCGGTAGTGGACTTCGCACGCATCACACAGCCATGCTGCATTCGGCGGGTCAGGCTCCAGCCCGTTGATGCAGACTCCTTCTACTAGGAGAATCTAGGCAGCGCTTCAACAAACAGATCACGGTCAGATCCGAGCCTTGTTTAAGCCAAAGTCTTCCACTTTGGAAAGAAGGGGTGGGGTTCTGAAAGGACCGCATCATCAAAGAGACAAACTCCATGCCTCCCGTTGTTGCTCAGCTAAGAGGCGCTCTGCCTGGCAACAGGTTCCCTGTGCTTCCTTACAAGAAGGGCCTGATGGGCATTCTTATTCTACACAAACCCATTCTTGACAGTGCAAACTATGACTATGAGCTAGGCATTTGAACCACGTCTGCACAGACCAGACCCAAGCTGACAGTCCAACGCCGCCACGCGCCTCAGCCTGCTTGTCCTTAGCAAGCTATCAGGAACCGCAATCTGGCACCACACTTCAGGCAGATTCAGGCAGCTACCAGTAGAAGCTGGTTAGGTCCGGCGACGACGACGACGACGACGACGACGGCTGCTACTATTTCTGTTACTGCTACTGCTACTTCGGCTGCTACTACATACTTTTTTTTATCTATTATGTACTTCTGGGTACTACTACTTACTACTACGACGACGACTAGTACTACGACTACGAATACGGAAACTACTACCACTACCACCCTTACCCCCACCACCGCCGCCGCCGCCGCCACCACCACCACTGCCGCCACCAGTTGACTATCAGCCAAGACGTGTACCACTTGGCCGGCTTAGCGTCAGTGCGGACGAACCCTGCAGCAAACACCCTGTAGTTGTACCAGCGTATTTGGGCTCCCGCATCGCAAGCCCAGGCATGATCATATTAGCTGCCCGGCATTAGACTTTTCAGGATGTCCCTACCTTGTCGAAAAGCTCCCTCCAGGAGCACAGCGCCCCGCCGACCCTGCCTGCCTTCATGCTACAAACTCCGACTGCCAACGCTGTGCCTCCCTCCAGCCACAAACTCGAAGGGTTGAGAGCCCGTTCACATTGAGTGGCATGCAGTATGCAGTCTCTTTCCGTTCCGGGGTTCTGCCTGCCATGGTCACCGAAACACACGCCCGAACCACCCGATGCTTACAGAGTTGCCATTGTCCATCGCCAAGTCTCTGTAAGAAGAATTGTGGCATCAGGTTGCCACGAGCCATCATTGAAAAACTGCCAGTGCCTTAGGACATGTTACACTATGCTGGTTTGCCGCCGGATCGCGCATCACATGGCGTGTTTGCTGGCAAGACAAGTGCAATCCCCTCCAAGTTTGAAGTTTGAATGCAGACAATGGTCTCGATTTTGTTGGGTGGGGCGTCGTTGTGCGGAGCAACGGACGCCATCACACCACCTTCGTTGCTGAACGATACCAGAACTGGAGGCATACTTAATCTCACACACCCTACCGCCAAAACTGAGGCTCCTTGCCACTTTGAATGATTCCAGCTTCGTCGTCCTGCGATGGCGGTCTGGTGTTTTGATTTGGCACGTTCCTGAAAACCGTTTTCATGACGGGCTTGGTCTTTACATTCTTTACAGCATGCAGGGTTTCAAGCCCTGCGCAATTCTGTCCGTAATAAACCATCGGCGCTTGCTCGTGCTGAAGATCCAGCCTTGACAGTTACGAGGCTGTGGAGCTAAAGCAACATGAGCTTAAAGCTTCAAGATCATCCCCTCTGCCTTCTCCACCGACTTGCCGCCACACTGGCTGGCCTCTTTCTCGCCGAGTCTCCTGGGCAACAAGCCAGCGCAGCCAGGGAAGGGAAGCTTGCTGGTCGAGACGAATCCAATGGTGCATGTCAGTGCGTGTCCTGCTTTCGGTACTCGCCCTGCAAATTCGGGTACCGCGGAGCAAGCAGCCAAAGCGACGGCGGGTGTTCCTGAAGGACTGCAGGTCGGCCCTTCGTGTCCGAAAACGGAGAGCGCATCGCCGAACCTTACCTGCTGCCTGGGGATGGGTCAACTGGGGATTACAAGATGGCGGGCCATGCTTCCAGCTGCTTCGCCTTTATGCGGAGCTCCATGCACAAGCATGACCAGTAATGATCTGCAATACTTTTTGACAGTTTATCCGTCTCAGTGATCTCAGTGATCATTGATTCCACTGCGGACTGCGGAAAGCTATGCGAGGCCACTCCGCGCAGACGCAGTGGGAAGGGAATGGCTCTCACCAGAGACGACGGTTTCTCGAGCCTCGCTGGCCGAAGAGCTTTGCTTCTTTGCCGCAGCCAGAAACTTCTCCTGAGAGTCCAGTACCTGCATCCAAAGCTCTCGGGCTGCCTGGCTCTGCCTTTGGCACTTGGGCATGACATGGTGAAGATCATTCTGGCCGAGGTTGCCAATATGGACGTGTCGTCATGCCAACCACTGCCGTCGTAGTACTGCCAAGAAGCCACCTGCACTATTGCTCACTATTGCTTGAGGATGTAGTCTCGCCACAGCCTTTCGAATGGCCTTCTGGGGAGCTGCTCCGTCGTGTGGCTGCGCTGACTGAATCGGGCCGAGCCGGTCAGCCAATTCCTGACAACATGGACGAAAGTTGCATTTGCACCCTGCTCGGCCTCTCGGCTTAGTGTCAAAGTGTTTTTTGGCCGGGTTTCCACGTCGCTGTTGGCAAAGCGCCAGAAACCATCTGGAGCTGGGGCGCTGCTGAAAAGCCAGCCGGATCCTTTCTGTTGTCTCCACAAAGGTTGGTTGAAGTTGTCTCGTCCCTTCTGGAGAACCTCGGCATCAAGCACCCATCAGCCGTTGCAGCATGTGCTAGAACAGGCAGCTTCTTTTGCAAGCCGCTCTCAAAATCATTCAATACAGGAATAGCCTGTTGTGTAAATGCGCGGGTATGTGACCTGCTCTGTGTCCCTTGGGTCAAGCACCTGGCCTGGAACCAACGTGGGCAAACGCCATGTAAGGCTAAAATCAGTCAAGCCAACATATTCACCTTGAACGGCCCCCCTTGCCGGCGCCAGCAGCCACAGCTGCTTCGGGTCGCCTCCACCTGTGTTGCAATGAGGGTGGAGCGCATGTTCCGTCTTTCCAAACATGCAGACTTCACGAATGGGACATTGCGCCTTCCTCATCACCTCCCCAAGCGTCGCTTATCACGGCAGTGCTGGTTTCCCGGGTGGTATCTCCTGCAGTTGCACGTGCATGTCCGCATCAGGCAAACACCGCAGGCCGTTTGCACCTATGAGCTCCGGCATAGACAAGCTGCGGGTCGCCATGCCGGTGGTGAAACATTGGTATTGAGGCTTGTTGTTGACGACAACAAGACGTTTCGAATGAGATACCCTACATGGCTGCTAAGTGTCCCGCGCACACCTACCTGCAACTCCATGGTTTGTAGTAGTTACTTAAGATTGTAGTAGTTGCTTAAGTTCTCACCTGGGTGCTGCACACTGTGTCACTGGATTCCTTCGATATCCTTACATCATCAAATGGCTGAGGGCCACAGATAATTAGCAAAGACAGCTACTCGTAGATGATTCACACGGCTTAAACCTGTCAGACACTTCTACCATCTCTGCTGCCATCATAGCGCTGGGCTCCGAAATTGGCGCCAGGCCTCAGTACAAGGACAATGGCCTCAAGCCTGGGGGCTTTGTGGAGATCCCTGGCCAGAGCCTTATGAGCAAAGCCTTTTGAAGCCAGCGACTGCTCCGGGATCGCACCACGATCTGTCCGTTTTCATCTGCCACTAGGAGCCTCAGTCCAACTTCCCAGAAATGCCATCACCCCAGCCTTCCCCATCACTCTGTAGAGGTTTCCTCGCCAGATGATGGGCCCCCGACGTCTTGGAGATTGGTGCAGCTGCATCGGGCATGCCTGGTGCTCAGGGCCAAAAGTGGTGTCTCAGAGCCGATGCCAGGTGCAATAAGCACACAGCTGTATCTGGGTACGGGACATAAACACATGCAAGACAAGGACCCCATCTGAAACCTGGCTGCACAGTGGGGGCAAGCCGGAAGGTTCTACGAGCATTGCCAAGATCTGCGGAAAGGGTAGACACTCCGCCACTCGCGCTCAGGTGTCCACCCACATCCTGGCCAAACCTCAGGTGTTTCTTTACATCTTCTACCCAGGACCACAGCCTGAGCACTCTGTGAGTATCGAGCTCCAACTGAAAGTGCTCCGAACGAGTTGCTGCAGAAAGGCCTCGGCAAAAGCAGGTGGTGCTCCAGCCAATGGATCTGGAAGCACGTATCATCTCAGGCCGACGCATTGCAACATGTTTTGTCACGTGGCGGTGCTGCCAGTTGCAATCCGACCAAGGATGAACAACATGACCTGGCCTACTGGAATTCCATTTCATCTCAGCTGCTTTGTGCTGCCTAGCTTGAGAGCTCTACAGCATCTAGACTAAGTGCGAAACAAGCCGCAGGCTATCAAGCCGCAATGCAAGCAAGTAAGCAAGCAAGCAATATCTCCCGCAATTGCGCAGCCTGGCGGCAGCTTAAACGAGAACCAACAGAACCAGCATCTTCACAAGACTCATCGTCGCTTGAAGTGAGTTGGCACTGCAGGAAAGAGATTGACCTTTGAAGCTGTGGTAGAGTCAGTTTGCCATGTGCCACATTGGAGGGGCATCAATGTGTCTCGCTCTTGTCTGTTTCTCGTTTTCGCTCCTGCGTTGGTGCACTGTGGCACTCGCGGCAGGCTCAGCAGCAAAAAGCCACAACGGTGTACAGTGTAAAGCCGCTGGACTGCCATTGCCGCAATCGATGTGACTTGTGAAGCAGTCATGGCTAGGCAACAGGCCGGCACATCGTGGCATGCAAGCCATCTTGAAAAGATGTGCCTAATGCCTTTTAGTCGCACCATGCAAGTAATCTGCTCTTGAAAACCTCCTCCGGCATTTCAACATTTAAATGCAGCAAGTCGAACAGGATGGCAAACAATGAATCTGGCCCCTGGATCGTGTATCGGGAAGCCGTGTGATGATCAGACAAGCAAGAAGACGTCAGAATTGCTGCCTGCATGCAAGCACTTTAAAAAGCGCTAATTTACTGCGACGCCACAAGGTGGGTTGCTGTTGGCCAAGCTCGTGGATTCGCTCAAATGTACACATAATTACAGAGCCCGTTCTGTGCAAACACTAGTGCAGGTTCAACCTGCACTGCTCCGCTGTGGGGACTGTCGGGAACCAGTGATAATCAGGCCCATCAGGCCATCAAGCGGCTGTAGAGCTCATAGCCTGGAGACGGCGGGCCGTCTTCTGGGAATAACAGAAAGAACTGCAGCAGCAACCGCAATGAAAGCAGACTCAGAAAGGTGCGCTGGTTGAAATTCTTCAGCACCTCGGCTCTGCCCTTGTGGCTCCCTGGCAGCTCGCAAAGCCGGTTGTCCACACACCGCATCGTCACTTCGGTGACCGCCTCCTTTTGGGATCACATTGATCTCCTTGCCGTCTGCTGACTTGCCTGACATTGCGGAGTCTGCAAGCGCATCATTACGCCAAAAAAGCATGCCCAATCCACTCGCCTGTGATAGTCTCAGACTTCTCCGTCGACAGCATTGGTGACAAATTCGTCGCGCATTGTTCCTCGACCGCTCGAAGATCTACGAATCGATTCACACCGAGAGGCCATCGGGCAGCTTCCTGGAAGTTTGCGCTCAAGTCGAAAGCAAGATCCTCGGCTGCAGCATGATCGCGAAAACGCTACAGCTTCGATACGGACGTCTGGAGTTTACACGAAGCAGGTGCCGCAACATAAATGCTCGCATCGAGAATCTGGACGACGATTATGCAGAGCCGATGCACCTTTCGGACACTCGATGTGAGACGGAATTTAGAATGTGAGCGAAGAGGTTGAGCTTCGACGAGCCCTGCACCGTTGAATGCATAAAGTGCCGAGCACCGCGGATCCTCTGCTTTGATGGTCCCTTGCGGGGAGTTCATCTTTTCCTGCATGTTTTCCTGGGACCACGATATCGAATCTTGCGAAGAGGAGGACAACAGCCAAAAGCGAGCCCGGCAGCCTCACTGCGCAGACGGAAGATTGACTGAAGAAGTGACATGGCCTCGGTCTGATCCCAGCGCAAGGGGGAAGGAACTTCCCCTATTACCTCGAGAGAATCTGGGGCTGGTAAGGGCACTCGGGCCAAGGAGCTCGGAGCAACTGGTCGGCCCCACTACCACACGGATCAACCCAGGCAGAGGATCGCTGGAGATGGAAAACGGCCACACACAGACTGGAGAATCGCAGCATGCATTCGCAGCTTCTCTCCGCATGCATGCGGCTTAACTGCTGATGCTGTCGGATACTTTCGACCGACGCAAATCCTGTCTGGGCTGCAGCGGCCGGCACACTGAAGCTATGCTTGGACAAGCCACGGTCACTCGTTGCTGGCGTCATCGGACCTCGGCTGATGAGTTGTCCAAGTCCAAACAAGCTGCCAAGCCCGAGTGCCCCGACTCCGCGACACAGATCCGTTTCTTACAGTGAAGATCAGTGAAGCCTAGGACGTGGACTCAGAGCTCGAGGAAGACTCAGACTTATCCTCCTCCTGATCACCTCAGCTCCCGTTCGGTTCCACGGAGAGCCTGCCGCCTATGGAAAGCTGCCTTTCACTCAGCATGTCTTGTGCATACGTCGTGTTTGGAGATATTCCGGGGCAGATAAGCGCCGGACTGTAGTAACTGTAATACTCGTACTCCGAGGACTCCTCTTCCAGATCCAGAACCCAAAGCTGAAGCAAGCTTGCACAGTAGGGGTCTCCAAAGCAGCTGGTCCTTTTTCGGCGCATCTGCCACACCCTTTCTGGCCTTGCTCTTGGCCTGCGTAAGCATGGAACTGAAGGTTGTCCTGCCCTGTCAGAAAAGCATGAAGCCTTGCCGGCAATAAGCGGAATCGCATCCTCTGCCTTGGACCGCTTGACCTCGAGCTCGCGACTGAACATGATCGGCACTCGTGACACAGTTCCGCCAAAAAAACCCAAAGTGGCGGGCTGCCTGCTTGGCTTCGTGTTTTGGGGCTTCTTCCTGGCATCAGGCTCTGCACAGCCTATGCTGCATGGCGCATGGCATGGCAGCCGGAAAGCTGAGATCCGAAGCACGTGTCTTGATAATGATATGATACATGTGCCAAGCACGGCACTTTCAGGACCCTCGCTGGCCTCGCTACCCCGCTTGTGTGGTGGCACCTTCCTTTCGGCATCTTGCTCGCTTGACCGGACCTTTGCATGGTCCTTCTTCTTGGCGGCAGCTTTGGACGCAGCTTTCGATGCTGCAGCTTTCGAGGCTGCTGCTTTCGATGCCTTCTTCTTGCCTCGCGTGTAACTTGCTCACTTTTGCGATGATGCAGATCCCTTCCTTGCATAGCCGGAGTGCTTGTGGCCGTTGCTAACCACTGCAAAGGCACGCGCGGAATCCGGACCTCTCCCTGGGGTTCGGACTGCTCGGTTCGCATCGTGTCCTTCTGACATCTTTCCTCAGCTCGGAGACGACAGAAGTAGCAGGGAGGCATGGGAACGGGAGGGCGAGGGAGTTCAAGAGATGAAAGTTCCGACGAAGTGCCCCCGATCAAGATCTCCTGAACAAATGAGCACCCGCTCAGCGATGCACTCGAAAACGATGCCACGTCAACCGAGGAAATCTAAAGGGACAAAGAATATGCTATCTGGAAAGCGTCGCCGTGCCAAGGACAGCAGTGTCCCGAGCGTGCTCGCGTGAGCACCTCGGGATACTGTCAGTCATAGTCTCAACGACACAGCTTGAACAACGCATCCGCGTTTTCTGACGAGCGTGAAATTCTCTCGGCGGACCTTTACATCCTGCAGAAGTCCTCGCCTAGACTTGCGTCCTGGCCCGGGTCCTGAGGCTTCGGCGAAACCTCCCGAGGCTGCCGAGGCCGGCGACCTCTGCTCCAAACCCCACTGCACTGAGCTCCCAGCTCCTGCTGACCCTGGCCTGCTCTGTCTGCTCTGTCTCTGGATCGAGGCCGTTGGTCGTTCCCCCGGCCTTCGCCAGCAAAGGGCCGAGCATCGAAAGCATCGGCTGAAAGCAGGCAGTCCCTTTTTGTGCCAGGACATTAGCTTGGAGCCGCATGTAGCGACTGGGTGAGGACACAAGCGAGCTCGGACAAAGTGGTGGCCGTCGGAAGAAGGATTCAGAGCACTCCCACGACCGCGTCACTCCGCCGCATGCTTTGCGGTGTCACCGGCTCATAGATGGTGGAACCCGGGCTCCTCATCACACCGTGAACTTCTAGGCGCTGCTTCTTGAAAGGCTCTGTGGGCTTGTGCGTTCTGCCGCACGGGAACGAAAACGAAAGAGAGAGGTTTCGGATGCCGTACTGTAAGCTTCAGCAAGTCCTAGTACGAAGCCAAATCAGTTGCGACTGTCTTAACAAATCACCAAGCTTCACGAAGCACGCTGCTCGTACACAACTCGCGCTAACAACTCAAACAAGATTCGCGAGCCGCCGAGCCGGTGAGGATCCGCTCTGTCGTGAAACCAAGAGCTTCCTTCGATCAAGAGGCAAAGGGCTGAGAGCCGATGTGCCGCCACTTCCACTCTCGACCCTCACATCCGCAGAAGTCACAAGTGTCTCCGGTGCTTTACAAGCGTCAGCCGCTCGTTGTCAGCCAGAACCGTCTGGAGCTGTGCCTCTCCGAGGTGGACGAAATCACCCCACGGCTGCAGAGAGAAAAAGTCAACCCAAGGCACATTTTTTATTTTTGTATTATAAGTGTGTTCATATGTGTATATATATATGTATATACATACACACTCTGTGTACATGTGTATGCCAATACATATCTAGCTATCTATCTACCTATCTCTCTCTCTACACTTTCTCCCTCGATCTCGTGAGCTTTGGTTCGAAGCAGCGGGAGGGCCCCGTCACTGGTACTGAGTCGTCACAGGAACTGCTCAGCTCGGGGCCACCGGGCAGTGGCGAATCCTCGGAGCCGGAAGAGACGTCTCCTCCAACAATCTGCAATGCGGCTGTCCTTGCGCTTAGGCCTTCAAAGCTGCGGATTCCCCTTGCTGGGACTTGGCCAGGCTTGTAGTAGTTTCCCTTTTTCTGGGAGGCCCCTCCTGGAAGTGAGCATCCGGTGCTCCATTTGGGCTCCTGTCATGCAGAACTGCAGTGATCATTCCAGCTCGACCACACTAGAGTGAAAGGTTCGGCCTCAATCCGTTCTGCCCTCGCGGATTCTGAGCCATGCAAGCACCTCATCAGGTAGGCAGGTGACAGTCCAAAGCGAATGCCCTACTGAAGGAACTTCTGAACCTGACCTAGCCAATGGAAACAAACGTGAGCTTCACACGACCCATCCCAACTCCGATCCCTCCTAAGCCCGATCAACCACCCGTATCGTGGTGGGGAAATCAGAATGGCATATGCATCTGCTGAACCTGGCTTTCTTGAAGAATTTCCACCGCCATCAGCGAAGAAGCCAAGGCGACACAGCAGGAATGCAATGCACTCTGAGTTTGGCCATCTATCAGATTTGTCGTCGCGAAGCAGACACAGACACTCAGACACTGCAAGGGGTGTTAGCCACAAAAACCGTGGATCACAGCAGCGCTTGGGCGATCTTCAATTTGCCCGGAAGTGGATGTAAGATTCTCGACTCGACTTGTTCAGGCACAGCAACATCAAAAGCAACCAACATTAGAAGCAGCAACACCTTATGGAGGGCTTCGCGAAAGGTCTATCCAGAACCCCACCTTGACTTCTGATGCTCTTCTCTTTCACGTCGCTATCATCTGTGAGCGTGCGAGCCTGTCAACTTGGCCAGGCATGGACCAATCTGAACAGTAACATGAACAAACCCAATCGGCACTAAACCACTGCGTGTAAATGGCAAATGGCCCATGGCCAACAGCGTGCGTTTGTCTGCGTTTGTGGACATTTCTAGATTCTAGCTTCACAGCTCACGGAAATCAGCCGTCGTCGCCTCGCATTCGTGATAAAGCTAGCCCGGCGTTCAAAACTTCTGAAGCTCGCCTCCATAGCGCCTAAGGAACGCGCGTGTGCCTCGTAAGCATCCTTAGCCAACATGCATGCGAAAGAGAGAAACAAACAGAGAGGGAGAGAGGGACAGAGAGAGACAAACAGGGGCCAACTCGTAAAGCGATGAAGCGAGGCAGGATGGGAGGCCCATGCCCCGACACTTAGCAGCTTGGTGGGGCTCCTGCCATTCCCATGTCCAAGCTGGCTAGACTCAGGGCTGTTTCAACACTTTCAGACATGCATACATCACGAACCGCAATGTACCGCTTACCCGAAGCAATAGTATCACTAAGTGCGCCAGGCAGGGGGAGGGGAGGTGGGTGGTGGAGAAGTGGGGAAGGGGGAGGTGCTTCAGGTTCTGTTGCCTCCAGTTACCTGAAAGCTGAGCCAGCGAGATTTCGTACGTTCTTCGGTGTTGGAGGCATTCTGAAGCGTAATCTCACGAGTCTTGGCCCCTGCCCTGCACCCTGTCATTTCTGAACGGCCTTTGGATGGACATCACCAGGCATGCCAAGAGGCTGCTTCGCGCCTCTGAGCGTCGACCTGCATAGCGGCATGTCGTTCTTCAGCAGAACTTGCGGGGCCAGGCTTGCAGGAGAGGTGCTAAGGAAGTGAGAGGCGCCTTGTCCCTCAGTTGCGCCTGTTCCGACTCCCCCTCGAAGCGGCATCTCCAAAGTTCAGCCTAGCAGGGGGCAGCGTGGAAAAGCATCGCAGGCATCACAAGTATGAACTTCGCACAACCCGACCCAAAGCATGACGGCCTCGAGGTTGGTTTTCTCCAAAGATGCTTTGCAGGTTTGCTGCTCGAGCTCCGCGGAGACCCGCTGCAACCTACCAAAAGAGCCGACCCTGGCCCTGTCCCCAGCCCACTGCGATCAGACTATCCCCTTTTTCAGGGGCCGTGCGTGACTAGGGCAGGGGTTGCCCCCCCTTGCGCTCAAGCCCACCCTCTCTCTTGCTTGCTTGCTTGCAAAGCATGTGGATGTATTTTTGGCACTCGCTCTCGACGAGGTCAGGCGAGGATCCTATGTGGAGGTATGCGGAAGCACGCTCCCCACCCCGCTGCGCCGTAGCGCTACGCCAACGTCCGAGTGGCTTTCTCTCTTTCTTTTGCCAGGGCTGTGGTGTAGGGGTTTGACCCCCTACACCGCGCGCAGATGCGCCCCCGACTGGTGCGGGAGACAATGAACTTTGCGTGCGCACACACCACCGAGGCAGAAATCCTTCGAACAGGGACTCTCTCTCTTTCTTTCGCCAGGGCTGTGGTGCAGGGGAGCAAGCCCCCTACACCTCTGTCTCTCTCCTTCCCGGGCGTGAGGGCCGGTCAAGGCCCCCGGGCGTCAAGCCCACCCGATCATTCTGGCTTTCTCTTTCTGTCTATCTATCTATCTCTCTCTCTCTCTCTCTCTCTTCTTCCACACAGTCAAGAGAAGGGCACTGCACCCTCCCCCGCGCGCGCACGCTCTGCCTCTCTCTCTCTCTCTCTGTTTCTGTCTTTGTCTCTCTCTCACACGGCAACAGAAATCCCGGACAAGGCGCGTCTCGTTCTCGGCCGCCAGGCTCTGCTTGGCCTTCGTCAGCTCGGCCTTCGCCTCGTGCCTGGGTGGCTTCGGTGGAGGCAGGAAAGCCGGACCTACAGCCGTATGAATATTAGATGTAAGATATAATATACAAAACCCAAAACAGTATATGTTGTTGGCTCTGTATTCTACATTTTATATTACATCTTAAGCTTTGTGTGTTATGTATAAGATAGTTTACATTACAATTGACATTTTATGTGTTATAAGTTTTTTACTACATAATATGTGCTGCGTATTATGTAGTATGTATAATATATTATGCACGATACACTCGATATTTGTCATGTTTATAGCATACTGCATATTATTATGTGTATGTGTATGTACATAAATATATATATATATATCTATCTATTTATATTTATATATGTATATACATATATATATATATGTATCATATCTAACCTATTGAAAATTGCATATTAAAACTATATGTTATATGCTACATGTTGCTTTCTCTATGTTCGAAGTTGCGTACTAAATACTATGTGCACAATGTTATGTGGTTTACGTTACATACTACATATTATCTGACACAATATCTACAACCTGTAACATACAATATACAACATACAGTCTGGGGTTAATAGAATATATTGTATATCATATATACTGTGTAGTTAATGCTGCATAAGATATACTATAAAGGATGCACTTTATAGCATATACTATATAACGTATCCTGTATAGTTTTATAAACTCTAAACCCTAAACCCTAAACCGATGTATACTGTGGCATATATGTTATATGTAACATGTTATGCATGATATAAAATATGCAATGGATAATTAAAAATATAGTTTACGCGAATAAAATAATACAAAGTAGAACACCTATATACACTGAATAACACATAATAGATAACACAGTATGTACCATACAGCATATACTATGTCATATATCATCTATAAAACACAGCACATTTGATATCTAGTTAGTCTGCTTATACTGTTATGTTGCAACTTATAGTCATATTTATATGCTACATATCACGTCTTAGAAATCATAACATCTGCCTATTACATACTGCGTATTGTGTACTCTATCTGTATGTATGTATTTATATATATATATACATGCGTGTACCATGGTATATCGTCTAGGGCATATGTTAAGTCATATGGTATATTACATATTGCAATGTAAGTCAGAATGTTAAACAGTCTGTTCTCCTAAGCTTCATCAAATTCTTTTACCATCTGAGTATAGAACGGAGCTGTTGCAGTCTCGGCACAACTGGTCCTCCAGTCTTTCCAACTGCTGCCGTTGCTCTGCTCTTCTCGTTGCAGCCTGCGAAGTTGTGGCGGCTGCCTGCGGCATCTTATCTCGCGAGCAGGAAACATTGACAAGTTCCCGGCAACATGCAGCGCGCCTTTTCTTCGACGAGCTGCAGCTCCTCCTCCAAGCTCTC